AAAAGGAGAGATAGGACAGTGGACAAGAGGGCAGGTTGGGTTGTCTTGTTCTTCACATAAAATAATGATAGCTAAAATAGAGTATTTTCTATAAGTCAACTGGGTTTTAAATATTCACAGCTTAACCAGTCTAATCTCCAGGACTCCATGAAGCAAGCTAGTGTTGTGATCTTTTTGTTTTATAGCAATGGACACTAAAAAATTACTGTTGGCACTCTCTCTCTCTCTTACTCTCTCTCTCTCTCTTCACACACACACACACAATGTTCTAGCAAGCTGATAGCAAAGAGAGGAAGAATCTGTCTCGATGAAGATTGATGAGGCCTACTCAGAAATTAATTTTTCTCAGTTTGTTGATGTTATGTTTCAGGAGTACTGCATAGCAAAAGAATTCATGGTTGAAGAAGTTAAAACTTCATAAAGGCTTTTTAACAGATACTATATTATTATATTATCCCAATTCTATTTTGTTCCATGAAATTTTGTTTTAAAGTGTCTTAATTAAAACCAGAGATGCAGCATAGTTAAATGCATTTACTACTGATGACTTGTTTAGGGTAATAATGTGTCCTGGCACAAATTTACTTACCTCCTGATGCTCTGTAGTGATGTCCCAAGAATTTTCTTCCATGCAGTCTCAGTGAGATGCTTATCGCTTTGCCCTGTTGCAGACCTTAGTAACAGGGAGTATGATTTAATTTGGATCAATCTGAAATGGACTTCTGCAGACTCCTGAGTTGAAGACTTGGTTGGAGCACATGGGCATCTCATAGGTGACTAATGAATTGAGAGCTGGTTGGACAATTAAGACATGGGACCTAGCTGGAAAAAGAACTTGGAATGTGCCTTGGGCTGGTGTATTTTATCTTCAGACCTTTTCTCTCTGATTCCCAGTGGCTATGAGCTAAAGAACATCTCCATCATGACACTCTGTTGCCATAGGCTTGTAGCAGTGGAGCAGCTAACAAAAGATTGAAACTATAAGTCAAAATTTTCCTTTAGGCAGTTTTCTTGGCATGTGACAAAAACATGACAAAGACAGAGTGTCATTTCTCTTGTGGTCTGTTCTGTGGTGGATATTGGCTTTGGTCCGGTGGCATCCTCTGACCTAATGTTATCCCAGCAGGTAAAGGAATTTGGATGCTGGAGGTGGAAGAAATCCCAGGATCATTTCTTCACCTGGTTGACGTTTGAATGCAGTGCACATGCCTCTCATTGCCTGTAGCATCATTGCAGCTCCTCTCGTCTCCATCGTCACAGACAAGAGTGAAGCCAATTTACAGACGTGCTTTCCATCAACTCCCTATCTTTCACTTTGAAAATCTCTACTCACCATTCCTCTACAACGTACATTGACCTATTTGCTCCTTTTATTTATTTCTGGGTTCCTTTCTTACCTAGTCTGAGTAGTCTAGAAACAAGATGTTTGGTAAAATGAGAGACATATACAGAATACCCCCACAATGTTACTTTATGTAGAATTTATATTTAGGGCCAGGGCAATTGTTCTCAATCTTCCTAATGCTGTGACCCTTTAATAGAGTGGTGACCCCAACCATAAAATTATTTTCATCGGTGCTGTTGTTGATTATAATGTAAAGCTCTGACTGTCTGAGGTGACCCCTGTGAAGAGGTCATTCCACAGGTTGAAAGCAGCTGCTCTAGAGATGGGTTGGCTCAAATGCTCTTGTCACTTAGGACAGGTGCAGCTGCTTACTGGAGAAGTTAAGCTATGTCTCAAAGCAACCTACCTGGCCTAAGGTCTGCTCTTGCTGCTTCCTAGCTGGGTGACTGGAGGCAAGTTGTTTAAGTCCTCAGTGCCTGATTGTGCCTTCTTTATATTGAGGAAAAGATCAATTCCCAACTCCTAGAGTTGGCAAGGGGATTAAACGAGACCTGCATTTTGGGTTTTAGATAGTGCCCAGCATGTTTGTGTGCTCTCAGAATCCGTGAGTTTTCATCATGTGGCTTCAGGCACATCACTTAATCTCTCTTATTATCCTCTTTACCATGGAGGAAAATTAGATGAATGGTACTTCCTTTAAAAATCTCATTTCAACGATTAATTAAGATAATGCTTATGAATACCAAGCACAATGACTGATACTAGATGTTCTCATTAGCATTTGTCATTGTTATCTTGTGCATTTCCCCACACATCTCCACACAAGCATCCTTTGCCCTGCTACCCTCCCCAACCCCCACCCCCCGACAGACCTCATTGATATGTGGATATATTGACTTTGTTGGTGTTTTTCTGTTTTGTTTGTTTGGTTTTTTTTTTTTTGGGGGGGGGGAGTATTGTTTACATTGAGTTTTCAGAGTGGGGCTTGGGGCTTTAAGGATAGGGACCTGATTGTGTCTGTTTGGTGTAAGCTAATTTCCTGGTGAGATGGCATGCTCCAAAATAGCAGTAGTTCTCAAGCCTCACAGAGGCTTCATTGTTTGCACCAGGTGAGTAAATGCAGACCCAAGGACTTATTTCAGCTGCCTTGTGAGTAAGGGTAGTACAAAGCCCAGGCAATGGCTTTCTACAGGAGTAATTCCATCTCCCACCAGGGGATGGTTCACATCATCTAGAATCATTTCTTGGTTGTCATAGTGGCAAAAATGCTGCTCCATCTAGTAAAGGCTAGAAATGCTATAAACACTCTCCAATGTACAGTGCAGACCCCAACAGCAGAGAACTACTTAGAAATAGATGTCGACTGTGCTAAGGTGAGAACCCTGAGACTAATTCTGACTTACAGCCAAAGTGGGCCCTGGCATTCTGTGCTGGGTTTGGACCTGTTGGGGAGGCATAGCTAGGTTGTGCCAAAGAACCTTATTTAGGGCTGTGGAGTTTTCCAGGATGATTACCTGGGGATATCCACTGGGTACTTAAAGAAAGAAAGGAAGGACGGAAGGAAGGAAGGAAGGAAGGAAGGAAGGAAGACAGACAGACAACAATCACAACAAACCCTACCGATGTAGATTCACCCCTCATTAATATTGGCTTCACAGTTTTAGGCAGGAAGCTTCAGACATTTGTTGCTTTCTGAATTCTACTGGGGTACTCACAGGTGGCCATTTTATTGACCCATTGGGGCCAGGATGCTGCTAGAAGTGAGAGGGGTCTGTTCCTTATTCAGAAGGAAGGGCTGCTGTGGGTTTGGGCCAGGTAGATTTGGAAGGAGTGGGGACTTTTCCAGAGAAGGGGCACAGAAATAGCTAAACAAGCCGTCCATTGGAATGGTCCCATACAGAAGTCAGGCCATCTTTCAACTTCTGGCCTGCTCGGAATGTTATCTGGAGTTGACCCCTCAGGCCAAATAATGAGAAATGTTGGCTGCTTGAGATTTACTATTAGGATAAAATGAGATACATAAAACAAAAATAACATTATCAACAGTTGCTTGGGGAAACAGCCCATTTAAATAATGCCTCAGTTGAGCTTTGGGGAAAAGAAGTATTTCATGGAAGTGAATGTTTTAATCTTCAAAGACTTGATTATTTTGTTTTAATCAACAAAAATCATTTGGTTTTCCCTTATTTATTTCATTTGTATCACTGGTGTCATAAACTAAGACTAAAGTTCTTGCTTCTTTTTCCACTGTGCCTTCAGCCCTTGGTGCAGATGTCAACCATCTAATACAGCTGTCATATAGTAATGTCCAGGGCTATTGGGAAGCATGGGGATTAGTGATGTGGAGATGGAGTTCTGAGTTTTAGGTCTGTTTGTCATGTTTTCAACTTCTCTTACTGTCTCAATATCAGCTAGTGAATCTGTCCTCTGATTAAGTCACTCCCTAACTTGCAGTTCTTACATGTTGAAGCCTAAGAGATTAGAAAGCTGGTGTTGAGATGGTTTAAACTGAGAGTTACCCAGCTATGACAGACCAGAGCCATTGAGAACACCAGCAGAGGGTCTGTTAGAAATGACACCTGTGATTATCACATCCTACAAGTCCTGTGTATTAGGGCATATTGGAGATGTGATTCTGTGCTCTTTGGTGTATGCATGTTTCCGTGTGTGTCTTGGCACTGGCAGCTGGATTTCTGTGTCTCATACTGGCCTGAATGTCTAAGGCATCAGATGTTGAAGTTAAAGCCTGTTAGCTCAGAAGGGCTAAGAAGCAACCATCTGACCTTCCTTTCTGGCTGGAGACCCATCAAGGGAGCATCTCTCCACTGGTCCCAAAACAAAGAAGACTGTCAATCTCTAATTTCTTCCCTACTCCTTCATGTACATCACTCTGTCTTCCTGGGTTCTCTGTACTCTCTATGGCTAATCCCTGTCAACTAGTCCATGGCTCTGTCCCCTGATGCAAGGTTGAATTTATTAACACAATCTCAAGTTTCATAGTGTGATCAAATATCCCAAACAACCCACAACACAGACCCTTAGCTCACCTGCTTCTAACTACTGGCAAGAGAGTCTTCAGGTTTCTCTCAACCTACTAACCATGAGAATTTTGTTCTGAGTGCTTGTAGCTAACGAAGTTGTTGTTTGTAAATAAAGGAGGAAAAAAGGGCAGACAGAATCAGATGGTGGTGGGTGGGGCCAGGCCTTGAGGCCACCAGAACGGGGCAGGAAAATGGTGTTCTATAAAGTACAGGTACAGCAAGAATGTGGCAATGCAGGAGTGCCATGGCTGAAGATGCAGCTTAGATATGGAGTGAATGCCTATTGTGAGTGTTACAGGGCTCTACTTACAATTCCTAGGACAAGGGAGAAAATGTCACATTTCATTGAGAAGACAGATGGAAGATGATGGGGAAGGGGGAATCAAGAAAATCTCTTAGAATGTAGAAAAATGACAGAGGTGGGTCAAGGACAGAGATTCAGACTCAGATTGTTAAGTAGTGGACTCTTTTCAGGAGGCATTGACTCGATGACACCATTCTAAGATTGTGACCACATGTATTGTGGCCCTTGTAGGTGCACGTCTCTAAAACCTATCACACTTCTGGGACTTCCAATGGCTATATTCAACCTGTTTCTCCTTTTTCTTCCCCAGGTCGGTGTCTGGATTGGATAAGGAGGCAGACCTGGTGCACATGGAAGTGAGGACAGCAGATGGATGTAAGTGCTGCCATTGGTTGGACTATGCTGGAGATCTTTCTGTGGTCTCTCCAACCCAGATTTGCATTTTAATGGCTTGGGTAGATGAAAGGCCTCAAGCTCCATTCCTGCTATTGCCATTCCCATTTCTCAGGGTAGAGGAATCTATTTCTGGTCCCAAGGGAGAATGTTTACTGAAATGAACGCCCAGGAATGAATTTTCTGGGAATGTGAGTTAATATGATGTATTTTTTCTGCTCCTGTTAGCATCTTCGAACACTGCACTCCATGGCTCATCAGGGCATCTCATACTAACATGTTGAATCTCAAGGGCCACTTGCTTTAATAAATGAACCCTTAATAAGAACAGGTTTTCCATAAAAAGTAACTGAGCAGTTATTTGCGTAAGTGTTGTTCATCTATTGGACAGAAATTTAAAGATGACCTACTATGGGATGGGCTTTGTTCTTACCATGAAGATACAGTGGTTAAAGTCTTATATTATTTGTGCAAACAAGGGGCTCTGTTCTCAAAGTGAAACCCTGAGAGTTCAAGTATGTAACCTTTGTTTTCTTTAATCTTAATTTGTTGAGGATTTCATACAAGTACACAATGTAATTCCATAACTATCTCCTCATTTTTTCCTGAGCTCTCCCTAGATCCCTCCAAACATATCCTCCTTCTGATGCCATGCCTTCTTTTCTCGTGTTTTTAAAATAACCCACTAACTCAGTTTAATGCTGCTTATACATACACACATACACGGGCATGGAGCTACCCACTGGAACATGGGAAACTTACAAGTGACCACACTCCCAAAGAGAATGATACCCTTGTCCAAGCATCTATTAGCTGCCAGTGACTCTTCAATAAGGAGTAGAGCCTTGTGAGCTCCCCAGCCCCACTGTGGAAGAGGAGGCAAAAAGAAAGTAGGATCTGGAGGATAGGAAACAGCGTTGTGAAATGCTGTCTTCAGGCATGACATGGCTACTATCATGAAACCATAGGACATATAGTCACATTCATAAGACCTGAAAATGATCAATACAAACTACAACTCTTTTGGAACATGTATGGTTGCATACATCTCACATAGAATTTGTGTCAGGCCAATTATTACAACAATGTAACATTTGAGGCTAGAGAGATAGTTGAGTGGGTATGAGTACTGGCTGCTCTTCCAGAGGACCAAAGTTCAATTCCCGACACCCATGTAGGACAGCTCATGACTGTCTGTAACCCAGTTCCAGGGGATCAAATGCCCTATTCTGGCCTCCACGGGTACTCAATACTTATGGTGCACATATATACACACACATAAAATAAAATAAATCTGAAAAAGCCTTTATAAAAACTTTATAATAACTAACCAACATTTACCATATTTATAGTGGTATATTTTCAAAGAAAAATAAAGTCAACTTAGATGAAAATGTATTTTATTCTAATACATTAAAATCTTCTAGATTGAAAACATATACAAACAATTTAATAGAATCACAACAGGACAAGTGAATTGGATCCAGGGTTCTGCTATCTTTTTGCTGTGAGAAAAGGAGAGAAAGAATCCTAATTTCTCTGCAATGTCCTCTGAATATTATTTATTTGCTCTTCAACTCAACAGGTTCTTAGTTGACCAAATAGCAGACAAATGTTGTAGAACCCACAAAAGGAACGAAACTCGTGAGCATGCCCTGCTTTGACCTGCTACATCATCCAGAATACATTACATTAAGAAAAACAGAGTGGGCTTTCCGCCTCATTCAGAAATTAGTGGACCTTGGACAGGGTTCTTGGCCTTTCTGTGATACCTCATCTATTGTTTTATATACTTTTAGTCAATGCGTTCACAAAGATCTTTGTTTTTAAATTTAAATTTGAAACAAGGTTGTTTTACACGTCAGTCCCAGTTCCCTCACCCTCCCATCCTCCCCTATCACCCCCTCCAAAGCCCAGCCCAGCCCCTTTCTGCGCCCCAGGGAGGGTGAGAAGAGAGCATTATTTTAAAGTCCTATGCTGACCCAGACCCCTGACTGTCTTCCAAAGTAGCATGATTCTAGCATTTCATTACAGTGACAGTACAATTTCAGTACATGAATTTTGGAGAGCTAGCCTTTACACATTGTATTGTAGAGTTATGTTTAACTTATTTGGACTTTTCCCAGTATTTCATATTCTTTTTTTTTATTATTTTTATTTTACATATTGATCCCAGTTCCCTCTCCTTCCTTCCCTCCCTCGCTCTTTCCCTCTCCCCCACTCTCTCATGTCCCCAACCACCTCCCCTCCCATTCCCCCCCACCCCATCTGTGGGGTGATGCCTTCCAGGAGGGGTCATCTAAATCTGTCAAGTCATTTGAGTAGGGGCTAGGCCTTCTCTCTTTTCTCTAGGTTAAGGGAGTATCCCTCCATGGGGGAAGTGCTCCCAAAAGTCCTTGTGTGCACCAGGGATACATCCTGGTTCCACTGTCTGAGGTCCCTTAGACTGCTTGGGCCTTCTATCTGAGACCCATGCTCAGGGGGTCTGAGGCAGTTCCATGCTGGATTCCCAGCTATCAGTCTGGGGGCCCATTAGCTCCTCCTTGTTCAGGTCAGCTGTCTCTATGTTTCTGCAGCCTGGTCTTGTCCTCCCTCTGCATCTGGATTCCAGTTTGGCTCAGTGTTTAGTTGTGGGTGTATACTTCTGTTTTCATCAGCTAATAGATGAGGGCTCTACGATGGTGGATAAGTTGTCAATCTCATTATCAGGGAAGGGCATTTATGGTAGCTTTTTCACTGTTGCTCAAATTGTTAGTTGGGGTCAGTCTTGTACGTCTCTGGACATTTCTCTAGGTTCAGTTTTCTCTTGTAACCAGAATGGCTACCTTTTTATGCTCTCTCTGTCTCTCTGTTTCTCTCTCTGTCTCTGTCTCTCTCTCTCTCTCTGCTCTCTGCTCTCGTCTATTTCTCCCCTGACTCAATCTTCCTAGTCCCATGTGCTTTCCTCCCTTCCTCTTCTCTTTTTCCTAGTTCCCTCTCCACTCACTACCCTCCCCACTCCCTATATGCTGAGGAGATCTTGTCCCTTTCCCCTTCTGTGAGGGACCTTATATGAATCTCTTAGAATCCTCCTTGTATGCTAGTTTCTCTGGTAGTGTGAATTATAGGCTGGTGATCCTTTGCACTATGTCTAAAATTCATATATGAGTGAGTACATACCATGTTCCTCATTTTGTGATTGGGTTACCTTATTCAGGATGGCTTCTTCAAGTTCTATCCACTTGCCTGTGAATTTCAAGATTCCATTCCCCCCCCCCCAACAGAGTAGTATTCCATTGTGTAAATGTAGACAGGTTCCCATTTTCCTGAGGAACTGCCATACTGATCTCCAAAATGAGTGTACAAGTTTGCACTCCCACCAGCAGTGGCGGAGTGTTCCCCTTTCTCCACATCCTCTCCAGCATAAGTTGTCATTGGTGTTTCTAATTTTAGCCATTCTGGCGGGAGTAAGATGATATCTCAGAGTTGTTTTGATTTGTATTTCCCTGGTAACTGAGGATGTTGAGCACTCTCTTAAGTGTCTTTCAGCATTTTTGATTTCTTCTATTGAGAGTTCTCTATTCAGTTCTGTACCCCATTTGTTGAGCAAAATTGACTACTAGGCAGATTTCAGTTCTTCAGAAAACAAACCCAACAATGACACAGGTAGTCTTTTGTCATACTGGACTCTTCTTCAGTGATAATTTCCAAGTACAAGCTATAAGGGGGTCTTGTAAGCACACTATGGCAAGCATAACTCAACATTATCCAACATCTTTCACATTCCTGGAATTTCTAAACTCCAAACTTGTACCATACATGCTGCCATCCATTGTTCCCATGCCATTGTTATGCCTCATTATCCAATAGCTTGTAAGTCCTTGTAAAGCTCAATACTATTTTATTTTTAAGCTCGAGGACAATTTTAGAGTTTAAAGGTAAAACTCCTGGGTCGGGCAAGCGATAAATCTCAGCAGCTGCCTGGAGGAAGAGAATACAAGTAAAGAGGAAAAATGCCATGCAGCTCATGCCAGTATGGACTTCAGAGAGCCACGTGGTGGGAAAGGAGGCTTTAGAAAAAAAAGCAAGAAAGCACAAAATATCAGGAAAAAAAATATACCTATAGTCTGGTCAGCATCTAAATAAAAAGAGACAGAAAAAAAAAAAAAAAAAAAAAAAAAAAAAAAGGAAAGTTGTGCCTTTCTGCCTCAGGCTTCATCTAGACCTCACAGTGGCCCATAGGGACTACACTAAGGGACTGGGGTTCTAGGAGGCAAAAGTACAGTCTCCCCTTAAATACAATATGATTCTGCCCATACCATGGCTTATGGTAAGACTGCCTTCTTAGGTGTGGTCCTTGGCCAGGTGATTGACCTGGACCAACGGAACCTAGGCCAGAGGTTCTGTTCTCTTAGGCAGGAAGATTTTTTTTTTCCTTAATGGGCCTTCATGCTACTTTAACACCCTCCCATCTAAACAGGTAACCCTAGCTGATGTGATGGCATTGGGTGATGTCCCATCTGGCTTCTCCACCTAAGTGAGGACACTGAGTGAGGCAGTTGGGTTGCCCTTCCAATGGGCCTACAAAAAGGTCCCAATGTGCATCAGTAGTTTCATTTGTATAGTAGCCAGGTGTAGGGAGGAAAGAATATCTTTCACTGGTGCCTAGAAAGAGACATAGGAGAGAAGTAGAGGCAGGAGTTATTAGCAGCATCCCATGAAGACATAAATAATCAAACAGGCTGCGATCTATGTCAGATTATTAGTCCACCAGACTAAACTTTAAACCCTGGTATCATAGATCACTGACTCTTAAAATAGCTCAGTGTAGAGTTCTATCACTTTCTAGGAACTCAGAGGCCAAAATGAAGGGAAGAGGGACCTTAGTCACTGGACCTGTTTAATTGTTTAATGAGAATGGGTTCAATGAAACTCCATTTTTATAGAGGGTACGGGGTTTTTCTTGTTTAAAAATACTTCAGTATTATTTTATTTATTTATTT